TACTACTCTCCAAGTTAGACCCTCCGCCGCCGCCCATGTTAATCATCCCATGGAGCAAACCCGGATGGTTATGAAGATACCCACCACCGGCGCCGCCGTAGAATTGATGGTTGTTGTTGTTGTTGTTGTTAGGATAAGGGGAATTATCAGATTGGTGGTGGTGAAGCTGGAGTTGGGTGTGCATGTAAGTAGAAGAGTGGTGAAAGGAGGAGGGATCGTTGGTGTATTGAGAAATGTCGTGGTGGTTTTGAAGAGAGAGGAAAGGCTGGGTTTGAAGGTGGTGGTGGTGATGGTGATGGTGGTCCATATTCAAATTAGGCTGTTGGAGTAGAGGGTAAGAGGGTTGTTGTTGTTGTAGCCTGTGATTGGAGGAATTACTAGACGATGATGAGCTTCCATATTGGAAAGAAGAGGAGGAACCAAGCGCAATCATTTCGTCCCGCTTTCGAGACGACTCGATGGCTTGTGCCTCTTTCAGACGTTTGGCAGCACCGCCGCCTATTGGGAGCGTGTTGCTCTCTAGTATGCTTTTCACGTCGTAACGGCTCATGTCAAAGTTGGTGACTGCATTAAGCCCTCTGAATTTTATGGCCGCTATGTCGTATGCCTCTGCTGCCTCCTCTTCCGTGCCTACAACCCAGACCAACATCCATCCATCCATCCATCCATCAAAACTATACCATAACAAAGATATAAAGTTAACAGCTAACTAACTTACTGAAGGTTCCCAAATAAAGATCTTTGTTTCCTGCCACTCTGCCAATCCTAGCCTGCCATCTCCCATGCTGGTGGTGCCTATTACAACGCCCACACATGTATTTATATACTTGATTACATAGAGTTCCTGTGATGAAAAATAAAATAAAATAGATATTGAACCTTGTAACTCCACGATACATTGACGCGCCCCTTGAAAACCCACTACTCTTCCTGAAATCAAACACACGTATACTTAGAACAAATCTTAAAGAGGAAACAATGATAGAACTAAAACTAGAAGTAGAACCACCTTCTAATGGAAGCCACAAATTCTTGTCTTGTCATGTGCTTCATTTCCTCAACTTCCTTCTCGTAGTTACTAATCTGCAAACAAAATAAAATAGTTCATGAAATTTGGAAATTATATATAATAATAACAACATGAATGTTAAAAATTAGTGTGAAAAGTGGTAGATTACAGGAAAGTTGGTGGTGGTGGATGTTCCCCAATACTTCAATGCAGCAAGATCATAAGCCCTAGCTGCTTTATCTTCTTTATCATACCCACCTGCCCATCATTTCAAACAAATAATTTAATCCTCAATTACAAATTAAATATATAGACAGAGACAGTGATGGGAACAAAAGTAACACTCACCCAAATAGACTGCTCCACAGATGATGGCAGAGACAAAGATCAGCATGTAAGAAAGTCAAACAAAGTTAGGTGCAGCCTTTATAGCTTTTTTTATTTTTTTTATTTTTTTTTATAATCAAAATTAAAAAAAAAAAAAAAAAAAAAAAGGTTTCACCTTGGCGACCCTTCCTCGACTGCCCTTCCCTCCTGCAACTATTATCCCATAAATGTGCTTCATACCTTCCCGTCCATCTATGCCTACAATTTACCATACAACGGTTCAGATTAAGTGACAAATTTAACATAGCACAGACCTATAACCATTCAATACCTGGTCACTCCGCGATAAATTGAAGTCCTTTGCCCAAAAGTGTCCAAAGTTCTTCTAGGAGTGACATCGAGAGTGGTATTATTGTTTGCACTGTCAGGGGTGGAGCTGGTTTCACAAGTAGAGGGCTTCCCACTGCCCATTGAAAGTGTCAAAGACTGCAAGCTGTTGGAGTTATCTTGAGGGTCATAGTTAGTAGTAGAGTCCATATTGATAGGAGCAGCCGCGGGTGTTGGGTGTTGTTGAAGAGGAACCAATCTTGTGATTGGAAACAAGTAATCCGTATCATTCGCTTCATGAATTTGATTAAACCCAATGAGATCTGCCTCATTTTCTGCCTTGCTTACGCCTAAGAAGTCTGCTACTTTTGGAACTTCCCCTCCACCTTGACCACTTATCAGATTCCACTCTACAACAAGCATATACATATGGAGAATTTGAAAGAGGATAAAAATGAAGCAGTAAAAAAAAAAAGAAATATAGGATGAAAATGATTACCGTGGGTTTGAAATGGGATATCCATATTGTCATTCTCCAAATTTCCCAAAGAGAAGTGATGGGCATGAGTTGGCGTTTGAAGATGTGGAGGCAAAGAGGGATTAGTGGGTGAAAGTGGAAAGGAAAGCCAATTGTTGGAGTTCATGGATCCCATATTCTTCTCCTACTTCTTATTCTTCTTCTTCTTCTTCAGCCTGAAAAAATGGGAAAATTCCATTGCAACAAAGTAATATGAGAGAAGAAAAAAGCAAGAGAGTTGAGACAATATATATAGAGGGGATTAGGGTTACCCTTTAAAAAGAGTGTAGATTAGGGCTTGGTTGTTTGTTAAGGGCTCGGAAGAGAATCATGTAAGTGAGGAGACAGAGTGAAAAGGTGGGGAGGAAGGGGAAGAGGCTAAAAAGAGAATTTGAGAGAGATACAAAGTACTTAATTTAAACAAAAAATGAATGAATGAATGAATTATTTAAGCATTTATTATTATCATTATTATTTAGAGAAGAAGAGAGAAGAAGAGAGAAGAAGAGAAAGGAAGAGAAAATGGTGTTGTAGTATGGTGTTACCCTTTCCAAAGCATTTGAAATAATTATATATAAAGAAGAAGGTTAGATTATTTTAGTCGAAGTTGAGATCCTTGTGTCTGCACACTCGGACAAATCCTCAACTCCAACTGCAAAAATCCAATCTCTCTCTCTCTCTCACCAACTTGGAATATCGGAACTCCCGTCCTCGATCTCTTCAATTATGACTCCTCAAACCCCAGCATTGCCACACTCAAAAATCATATCTTTCTCTCTCTCTCTCTCTCTCTCTCTCAGAGAGAGATAAATACTCTTACGTAAACTTTGAATCTCTCTCTCTCAACTTCATATCATATATCACATCATGTTCACTTGAAAAGGGTTTTATCAGTTTAGAAGGATGAAAGAAAGAAACCCACCTGCATGGGACGTATTAAGTTTGATGTGGTGGTGAAAGGGCCAGTCCGTGGTTGAAAGCTAGAGCATGGGGTGTTAAGGAATATGAAAATGGAGGGGGGGTCGAGTGAAATTAATAAAAGCAAAAAAGAATCAGCGGGACTCCCCAAGCTTAAATATGTTGACCACCTAATCGGTATTCGGACCCCTCAAAGACCCCCCAAGAACAATCACATTCTGTACATATTAAAAAAGAAAAGGAGGTGTTCATTATTATTATTATTATTATTTTCCTCTCGTCTCCGGATATAATAAAAAGAGAAGAATTGGAAAGGAAATCCATGTGTAGGTAGGTATGGTCCTGACAAACCTCTCCAGTGTCAGGGAAGAAAGAGTTAAAAGGTGAGAATTTGTTTGTTCTTAGTTAGAAATGCAAGTTTGCGTTGACTGACTCAGAATGCAAGTGTGAAAGTAAATGGGTTTGTTTGTTTGTTTGTTTGATTGATTGATTGATTGTGTATGGGAAAAGGGGTTTAGAGGAGGGGGAAAAAAGGATAGGAAGAGTAAATAAGAAGAGGAGAAGAGGGCGTTTATGGAGAAACAGGCACACGAGAACCCATACAAGAAAGGGAAAAAGTATTTGGGGGGACACTTTCCCGATGCCTACTGGGAGCAATCGCCGGGAAAGTGCTCGTGTCGCCTCGAATCCAAACAACCCATCAAACCAATTCTTCTATTCATATTCTATTCAACGTTTTGGGTTAGGGTTAGGGTTAGGGTTTCAGCACAAACGCTTTGCTTTCCTCTCTTCTTTCACTCTCATCCATCTCCATCTATCACTATTTCATTCAAACCTCAATTACATTTCCACATGCTCTTCATTTTACTTTTATTTTCAACTCTTTTTAGTTTAATTATTTCTTGGGATATACTATAAAAAAAAAAAAAAAGAAGAAAGAGTTTCTTGGGATCATTCACAATTGGCCACATTAATTAGGGCAATCTTAGTATTAGTCCTCATAGTCCCCATATAAAAAATATCATCAATTCTAATCACAACTTTTATCTAGTTCTATAGAGATGGATTAAGAAATTAAAATTGCAGCAAATCCCGAGTTATATTCAGCTCTCGGGCACAGGTGGACAAAATGGTAATTAAATTGTAGTGTTTCTGGAGTGGACCATGTTTAAGTCTGGAAATTTATACGTAGAATGAAGGAAATAAAAGTGATGAGATTTGATTATTTAAAGATGTTGAGAGCAAGTTGCATGACAGGCAGTAAGAAAAAAATGAGGTCGACAGAATTGGAAGGTGAGTTCAAAATTGTTAATTCCCACGAGACATGCATCTTGGAAGGGCATGTGCGTCGCATTGTCTCGTTCCATGCAATTCCCACAAAACAAAACAAAGCAAAACCCAACCCAACCCAACCCAACCCAGCCCATTGCTTCCTATAATTATTATGTTTATATATGTACAATGCTTCTTCACTTCTCCCTTATTTTCTACATTTTGGTATATGCTATGCTATGCACTCTTTCACAGTTCATCAATTCTTCACAAACCCGGAGGACCACTCGTAATTTAACTATGCCTTTATGTTTCTACTACAACTAAATAATTTGATCTTGTCTCCTTGGGACGTGCACTTCAAATCTCAAGCTTATTCATCAAACCCATTTCTTGGGCTGTAAAACAAGCCTGCACCTAACCCAAGTGTGTGCACACCTCATTGTTTCAGCCCATTGGCGATCCTCGTGTTTTCTCAATACAACTCAAAACCTCCTTTTCCTTCTTCCTTTCAACTTGGAAACCAAAACCAGAATCTTTCTTCTGCGCTGCAGAAAATACTTTTCACAAATCATGCTCAAACTTTCATGCAGATTAACAGGCTATCTTCTATTTGTCTCCAAAAGTAAATTCACCTGAACTTATTTCGATTGGTAGTTCAGCAGAGAACAGGGAGGGAGAAGACTCCCAAGTTGATGCAAGACCAGAACACAGCTCAGATATATTGTAACTGTAATCTCATCAACATATATATGAACATAATGCGAGAATACATAGATTTGCAGCAAATCAGAAACCACCTCACAACTGGATATGAATATCAACTTAGGACACATACTTGTACTGAGAAATCTATATCTTATCGAGCTTCTGGGCTTTGACAACAGGGTTGGCTTTCGATATGGCATGTTGAGCAGCCATGTGGTAATCAAAGGGGCAGTCATGTTTGTCAGAGTAACGATGAACTGTACAAAATACATTACCACACCCACAATTGAACCCGGTTAAACCAACACGCTGGTTACAAGAGTTGCAACGTTTTGGACCCTCATTTTTTGGTTTCTCACCTTCCACAGATCCCATTGCTGGCAGTGTATGTGATTGACTAGTCTTTGGTTCCACAGAAATGGCATCATTGCTAACACTTTCAAGCACTTCCTTAAAGCTACTAGACGATCCATTGACAAAATTTTCAATACATGAAGCAGCAAGCTTAGCCTGATCTTGTTTCAGCATCACGTCTTTATGACACTTGGAGCACATGTTCTTAGTGGCTGCACTACCGAAGAAGCCACAGTTGTTGATGCACAGGAAAGGACCCTCCGGAGGAGCTTGGCATCCAGCCTCATCATGAGAATCCATCTTTTAGAGTATACTGCATTAAAATCACTCCAAAAATACTCAAAAAGAAAAGAAGATGCAATTTTAAACAAAAAAAAGGCAAAGAGTGGTGCACAATGCTTAAGGTTGGTTTAAAATCACAAAGGCGAATCACTTGGAACATAAAGTATTTCTTGTCGTTCGTACCCTGTAAATATTCAAAACTCAGGAATCTTTCTCATGTCCCAGTTTGGAATGGATGATGCACAGAAAGAAATTATAGTTGAAGGAAATAGGAAGCAATATATCCAGAGACTATTATTGGCTCCAAATACCAATTATCATTTACGTCTATAAACTTCTATTTTCATATCACTCAGGTTCTCTAAACTCACAACTATTCCAAAAGTATACCACAAGACATTGATATGATAAGTTTATGCTGGTAATGAAAAATTCTTTACGTGTGGATGCATCATTTTGAAATGAACTACTGCTAGAGAGGCTTGAAATGAGATAGTTAGACCAATGTCCTGTCTGGAGAGTGGAAGCAACAAATTACTATACCACATTCATCTTTCAGCCATTGAACTTTTTAGCAGAGTAAGTAGGATAAAAGAAGATGGAAATCAGCAAGCCTAAGTTCCAATCTCTTCAGATGCCCCTCTTCCATCCTTCGTTGAAGAATTCTTAAACCTCTGTTCGCCTTTCACAGGATAAAGTGTGAGCTACTAATAATTTGAAGCTTAATTTCATAACCACTGCCATGTTCTCTACATTTCTAGCAACCTAACTGTATACAAGACTTGTAATTCAATCACCATATAGAATCATATGAAGTTTGAATACGTTTCAATGGCATACGCAGCTTGGCAAAACCACGAAACACCAATCAGTAGCCAACAAAAATAAAAATAAAAAAATGAAAAAAATCCCAAACCCCCACTCTGTTTGTACACAACAACAGAACAACACAGTTGAAAAGTTTCAGCAGCGAAAGGAGTATTCAAAGAAGGGAACAGACCATAAGCCCTAACCTGACGAAGGATATATCCGAGAGACGAATCTTTAATCTCGATCGAAGAACTCAGAATCCCATGGGAAGTATAACCAACCCCGGCTTCTAATGTATATAAATATATATGAAACGACAAAAGAAAATCAGGGTCGAGGTGGAATTACTCTGAAGTGATAGCTTAAACAATCAATTAAAGATTTAATCCAAATCAATTGACGAAGCAATTTAAAAACCTAACCTTAATAGCTTTTGAATCACCACCGAGGAGAGAGAGAGAGAGAGAGAGTTTCTTCTCTCTGTCCTTGTAGGATTAGCGTCAGCAGCGAAAGCTCTTCACTGACCTGACCACTCCATACACGTGGCATATCTCTATTGGCCTCTTGGTCTCCATCCCCTCCGTCTTAAATTTTAATTCAAACAAACAGCAAGATGATCGATATTCTTTTCCTACGTAATTACACCAAATATATATATATATATATATATATATATATATAAACACAGATACTATTTGGATAGAGCAAGGTAACCGAAACCCAAACTGAAACAAAAAGTGCGAACTTTCTTGAACGATTTTCCTAAACATCTTTTCTTTTCGCCAGAGAAGATTCTCACACGCGCGCACTCAAATTCCTCTAATCCATTTGGCAACTAAAGAAGACAACAAAATAGTTTTCTAGTCCTATTATATAGTGCTTCTTCTGTAGCGGCGGCAAGTTCCTCGCCGCTTGCAGAATTCTGTCATCTCCTTCAGTTGCGCGCGTAATATCTCTTGAACATTTCTGTTACCTTTCTGTCGCCAATTTCTCTGAATTTGGAAGCTTTTAAAAGCCCTCGAGTCGTTTCGGGGGTTCCACACTGTTCTTACCGACGCCTTTGAATCCGGGATTCGACTCTAGAAGACCTCCATGGCTTCTCAGGTGTTGGTAGCTCTTGCACTTTCGCTTGTGGGGGGATTCAGTACTTCTCTAGGTTAGTCAAGTTTATTCTCGTTATATGCTCTCTGGGTCTGGTTTCAATTCAGAATTATCTCATTAATTCTTAGCGGACCTCACTGGGTACTTGCCTGGGTTTTCTTTTCTTCCTTTCTTGTTTCTTTTTTTATTTTCGTTTGTCCTTCATTCTTGGTTCTCTTGGGTACATTTTGAAGTATTTGTCAATTGGGCCTTGAGACCAAATTTAATATGAAATGTTTCTTGGATTCGATATGTCAAGAAGTAAATTGATGTTTGGCAAATTAGTTGTGATTGTTCTTTATCTAGTCTTTACAGTCTCGAAATCGTGAATGTTATATGGTTAGAATATATCTATCTGGTTATGAGGTTTTGAAGTCGGCTTTTGAGAATCCTGGGAAAATTTACTGCTGTTCTTATATAGATGATCGTTTTCTAGTTCTGAGTTCTTAGAACTCAAGGACACAGGTGCATAACCCTATAGAACAGATCTTGTACCATTTTCTTCATTGCCGAAGACCCAGTTACCCCCGTTTTTGTTCACCGGCTACAGTGCCCATTCTTGTAGAGAAGAGCACTTCAAAGTCATATTCTCACGGCCTTGGTGAATTCATTCATTGGTCTCTTATGGTTAACTTGTAATTTCTATTTTCCACAACTTCTTTTGTTTCATTGTGTGAAATTAGTTTTATGAGTCCTGTTGTACACAATCGTTACTTCCAACTTTCCATTATCCATGCTTAATTTTGACAAAGAAGAACCAGCATGGTCTCTTTCCTCTCTCTCTGTACGGGGCTTGGAACTTAATTATTTACAATTTTAGTGGCATAGTATCCATATTTGCCTTGACACCTTCTTATCACTTCTGGTCCATTAGCATTTTAAAGCATCAGACTCATTTCTATTCATAACATTTGGAACAGGTGCACTTTTTGTGATTCTTAGCGGGGCCCCAAATTTGAAGATGCTCGGTCTTTTACAGGTGATGCTTGGAGGTTTCCTTTTTTGATTCTTTTCGGGATGGGGGATAGCTTTGTAGCATAAATCAATCCTAGAATATTGTTCATTAGTGGTGATGAAAGGCTCAACGTTTTCTTATCTGTTATTTTTACTTCGTTGTCCATGAAAATTGAATACAATACCTTATCGTTACTATATGATTATATCATTCCTTACAGCTCGGTGTGCCTATGTGAGACCATGTGGATTCTTCCTCGATCTCTTTAGAAAATTTTAAAATAAAAGAAAGAAAGAAAGTGTAAAACATAGATTAGAAAAAGGAAGAAGAAGAAGATGAAGGAAGGGACACTGCCTTACCTTTAACAAAGGTGGAAACTGTGCCTTTTCTTCTTCTCTCCTGTTCCTTTTACCCATCTTCGAAGGAATGGAATATTTTCTGAGATTGAATCCAATTGGAACCCCAACTCTTTCTAATTGTAGTAATTTAGCATGAATTTTGGTAGCTCGAGTTTATATTATGGGTCACTAGTGCAATATAGTATTCACTTCTTCTAAGTTTAAAATAATCATAATTCTTGCAATAAGGAGTGTTGTTAAATACATCATTTTGTTACCATGTGGGCATTAACTTATATGTTAAAGTCAGTTCTACTCTATGGATTAGTCTAAATCACCGAGTCTGAAATGCAGGGCTTTGCTGCAGGTTTAATGTTGAGCATTTCGTTCCTGGATTTAGCTCATAATGCGATTAACTCAATTGGATTCTTAAAAGGAAATCTTTGGGTAAATAATTATTCAGCATTTCATCTGATACATGTCATGAGTCTTTATTGAATGATTTCAGTACTAGTACATTCATGAAGTGTCTTTTTATCCGTACTGCAGTTTTTTGCAGGTGTTATCTTCTTTGCATTTGTTGCTCATTTTATCCCAGAACCCACACTTGCTCCTGGTTCAGAGACCAAACGTAAGAAGGTTGTAATTATTCTCGTTTAAACTCGCTTTCTGCTCCTTAAGGCATTCTCAGAAAGAGTAATATTAATTTCTCTAGAGTTTGACTCTCTATGTTGGATAATAGGACGATGATGAAGGGGGGAAGGACATTATGAAAAAGCATCGCCGTCAGGTTCTGTTCAGTGGCATAATAACAGCAATAGGTATATACATATACAACTGTCATGTATAAATGGTACAAGTTTATATTCTCTAACAATTTGTCCACGAAGTAAGAACATCGTTAATTTAGTCTAATGAAATGCAGGAATAAGTTTACATAATTTTCCAGAAGGAATGGCTGTTTTTCTTGGATCAATTAAGGTACACCTCAGCATAACCTTTCTTAAATTGAAATGGGATAATGTAGTTTGATCTCAGTTTAAAGAACTCAAATAATAAACTTCATAAAAGGTATTTATTTTCTGCTTAACAAAACTGTAAATGCCTTCATGTTGGAATGTTGCTTATTCATTTATATTAGAAGCATATGACATGAACGAGCCCTATTGAATACGATATTTTCATTGGTGATAGTTAAAATTTTGGCCTTTCTGAGCCATAGTGCTTATAATTGCTGAAACCAATCAATTTCTTTTTAATTTTATGTAGGGCCTTCGTGTTGGTCTAAACTTAGCCTTAGCCATTGCCTTGCACAACATACCAGAGGTATTTATTTTCTTGTTACATAGCCTACATTATGCTTTTCTCTGGAAATAGGTGTCCATATCATTTTTAGCATTTTTCTTCGTTGGATTACCTGGACTTAGTATTTGAATAAATATTTAGTAGTGCCTCTCGTTGGTATGATTCTATCCATCAGTTTATTTGGGCTTTGATTGACGCTGGTGGGATAAGAATTTAAGGAAATGCCACATGGAAATTATCTATGTTAGGTCTTGACTCTTGTAATATTATGCAGGGTATAGCTGTTGCGCTTCCTGTTTATTTTGCTACACAGAGGTTAGTGAATAATTTCGGTTTATGTTATGAATTGGGGTAAACTCAAAATTTTCATGCTTTCGCTAATCATTTCCTCTCATATGAAATGTGTTGTCGACTGACTCAATTTCCAATGAATTTCCCTCAATCAAATTGTAAGTTTTAGAAACATTTAAATGACGGGTTCAAGTTTTGTTGTTGGTCACCTACGAAATTTTTACCCCAAACATTGTTAGTTCAAGCCGTTGTCATTACCTCTCTAAAGTCTTCCAAGCCCAATGCTAGTAAATATTTCCCTCTTTGGGCTTTCCCTTCTGGGATTCTCTTCAAAGTTTTAAACACTGACCGATGTGTCAGTAATGACGTTGGGCCTCCAAGAGGGGTGGATTGTGAAATCCCACATCGGTTGGAGAGGAGAATGATGCCTTATAAAGGTGTGGAAACCCCTCCCTAACAGACGTGATTTAAAAACTTTGAGGGAAAACCAAAAAAAGAAAGTCCAAATAGGACAATATTTGCTATCTGTGGGCTTGGACTGGCATGTTTTTCACATCTTTACGTTGTCCAATTTAAAGGATTGAATATGGTTAATTTCTTGTTGTTTTTTGTGCTCAGCAAATGGCAGGCATTCAAGTTGGCTACTCTCTCTGGTTTTGCTGAGCCCCTCGGTGTTGTAATTGTAGGTAAGTCCAACTGCACTAGAGAGACGCTGAATCTAGATGTTCTTTCGCTGAAAATGTAAGCTGGGTTTCCAAAGTGTTACGCATGCATTATTATAATGTAAGAGTAAGTGCCGTTAATGATGTGTGAACATCAATTTTAGATAGTGATATCATTTACTGGCTTAAAGTATGATCTATTTCGATCAAATGCATTGATGATACTGGAAGATTTGTTATATGGTGTTTAGCTTGTGACTTATAACCAATGCCTTGAAGGGGACGCATGGAATGTTCAGTATTTAACTGCATTTTTTCTGCAGCCTACTTATTTCCAAGCAGCTTGAGTCCTGAAATTCTGGAAGGTCTACTAGGATCTGGTATGGCAAAGCAGAGTACTTGAATTAGAAATTGAAGGAAGACATTTTTTATCTTTTGGACATTGTTTTATTCTATTTATTTCATGCTTTCAGTTGGCGGAATAATGGCGTTCCTAACTCTGCATGAAATGCTGCCTTTGGCATTTGATTATGCTGGACAGAAGCAAGCTGTGAAGGTCGTCTTCTTAGGAATGGCTTGCATGTCTGCAAGGTAAGAAAACATGGGAAGAAGTAGCCGACCATCTTGATGCATTACTCCTTTTCTTTTCCTGCATTTTAAACAATTTTTTCCATTAAAATTCACAGCCTTCTATGTAGTTATGTTAATGACAATCTGCTCTGGTATCCATTAAAATTTGAACTGATGAAAACAACTTAACCTTATGATCCTTGCTGAGGTGAAA